GCGAGGGGGGCGCAGATAGATAGCGGGTGGGGTCATCGCCGCGGGATCCAAGACGACGCGCCGCCGCCGCCGCCGAGGGGGTTCTGCGCCAGCCAATCGATGGGGCCGGGGCCGCCGGCGGCGCTGAACAGAGGCGAGGAGGCGGTGCGGAGGATACGTCACTGCCAGGTGCACGCCGGGGATGGCCAGGTCCAAATGTTTCCTTTCGCGATACGCCGAGAAGAAAGAAACGCATAAAAGTCCATACACAAGAAAAGTTTTTTTTAAAAAAATGTTCATTTTTATACACGTAAAGGCAACATGTGTTTCGAAAACAATTTTTTTCCCCAGTAGTTTATTCATTAAGATTGAGCACACAACAGTCGGTATACAAAGAAAAATACCTTCTCTCTGTTCTCGGAATTAACACCTCCGCTCTGATTACAACCGTCCTCCTCTAAAATGATAGTTTTTAGATGTGTCACTTTTCTTGTTCACCAACGATCACAATATTTTTTCTCGTCATTAGGGGATATTTTCCTCAGAGAGGATGACTGAGGAGGACTCCAGCTATATGAGGATGAAAAAATGAGATGATCAGAAGACTTCAATGATTGTCCCACAGTAGTTTTAATTTATATAACAAAATATTTCCTTCCCTTAATAATTCAATACAGCACCCTTATGTCTTTGAAAGCTTATCTGGATTATTTGAAATCACGGATTCTCATGATCAATTCGGTTTGCTGCAATCGGACACTGGTTTTTAGTATACTTTTGCATAATTTCATTATTATGCTTCGTGAGAGGAGACATACCGGTAAGACCACCCAATAAAACCTGTAACGAGTCATAATTATTTTAAAAATTATGAGATCATTCAAGTAGCTTCATCACCAACAAGCAACGGCGAGTTAGAATGAAACATAGATTATTATTACTTTGAGAATATTCATTTACATGTTGGTAGTACATGATAACTCAAAATACTAATGATGAGAATTTCTTTAGTTTTTGTAAATTCTCTTAACGTGACCGCAAACATATCCAATTTAATGAAGTTGCCTGTTCGTCACCCAAAAAACACACCAGTAAAATGTTACAGAGCTTATTTCCTGAACATGTTTTAGCTCCTCTTTTTTTGAAACTCATCAGCACAGTCTACCCCTTATTTTTTAAACTACTGTATGTCGGTTTTGACACAATTTACTACACATCGGGGAGGTGGAGTCCTTATAGAAAAAGCAGTTCCCCTCAGAACACTTGTTCACCACCGCATTCACGACGAAAAGAATCGATGTTCTTGTTTCTCATCCCTTCACCGCAACTGGAACGAATCGGGTAAACCAAGTGTAAGAATCCGGGGGGTAATAATCCCCCACGCCACCTATGTCAAAGGTTCAATATCCTCTCCTAAATCTTCGTAATCCCCTCGAGCCTTTTGTCAGCGGCCGGGTGCCAGGCGCGGGGCGCCCCAATCCTCAGGCGCGCCCCCTCCCCACCCCCCCGCATTATCAGCCCGTCCCCTCCTCAGCGCGAGGGTCTCCGTCCGCGACGCAGGCAAAGCGAACACAGGCGATTCTTCACCCGTCCGCGCGACGTCTTCTTTGGACCTTATCCCAGAACACCTTTTTTATCGCGCGCGCTACCGGAGTTTCCTCGCCCTCTAATGCGACGACCCGGCGCGGCGCGGCGTGGTGTGTGGTGTGGTGTGCAGCCGACGACGGCTGAAAGCTCGGCGAGCAGCGTGCGCTGGAAGCGTGCCCACGGACACCTCCCACCCCCACCCCTACAAGCATCTCGTGCCACGCTCACCCCCCCCCCTGCATCGCCCTTAAGACCCAACTGGGTACTGCGATCCGCTGAAGGTGGTACAAAAGCCTACTGCTGTACACTGATAAACGATCTGATATGCAATGGCGTAGTTACCTCTTAGGCTGCAAGGTGAAGCCTACCCAAACATTTAATAAAAAACCAACAAAAAAGTTTTCATTACTTCATAATGTATTGTTTTTCTTTTTTATTTAAGGTCGTATCAACTTCTAGGTCATTAGCGACCACTATTACTTGTAAGGGTATGGTAACTGTGAGGATGACACGTAGTGGGTGAAAGGACGAACACAATATAGCCATACCCGAGGCGGGACACGAACCTGCGATCCTACTGCCTTCGCGTTCTCGGCCACCGGATCGGCGCTTCATAATGTTTTTTTCTTCCTGAGGCTCTTTCCACCTTCAGAGGATGCCCATTTCGGCAATTCGCGCTAGATACCCACTATGTCCCGAATGGGAACACATTATCTTTTACACTAAACAACGATACACTCGCGGACTCCGCAGTATGTGTTCAGCGGCCTTCCGTGACAACACACATACATCAACGACAAAGAATAAGCAACCAGGTGCACGGTGGAACTCGAACCCGCGACCCTTTAGAACGAATCGACGCACGCAACCTCGGCCATGCAGGTCAGCTTTTATTTCTTCATAATGTGTTTATTGATAACTTTGCAATTCACAAGTTTGTAGGTTTGTAGCTACCTCCTTTGTTTGTTATGGGTCTAATCTGTATTTATATGTCCCGTAAAGGGCAACTGGCCGTGGCGCCGTTAGATCCCAGGGTTCCTAGTCGGTCACCCAATCAGGAATCTACGATGACTCGAATTCGCATAACCTTAGTGACTTCACGTAGTTAACGAATTCTGCTAGCAACGCCAGTTTCGCGGTCGAGGCCATTTAGTATAACCGCATTCGCAGATATGACCGAGGAAACCGCGGTCATGGTGACC